TCTAGAGATGGGACAATTGATGAGTCACCATTCTGAACTTTAGGCGGCAGATAAACTTATTCCCTGAGGTCCAGAATGGATCTTCATCCTCCTGTCTTCTCAGGGATGAGAAAGTACTTTGAGTAGAACTCCTTTCCCCTTACTGCTGGAGGTACTAGTTTTACCACCCCCAGTTCGAGGAGTGTTCACATCCTACAGAAAAACCCTCTCATGAGAGAGATCTCCGAAAAAGGGCAGGGAGGTGACTGGGGAGATACGTAGCCCAAGAAGACAATCCCTAACACCCATCTGTCCACCATGATTTGAGTCCAGGAAGATAGGTAATGGGAAGTCTGCCTCCAAACGGAGGGGAATGACCAGAGGTTGACTACATCCAGTGAGACCATTGATGTGCAGCTCTCAAATGGCCTGTCAAAATTCTGGTTTCAGAGGTGATAGTGGTTGGGAAGTAAAGAGTAGTTTTCCCTGGGCACCATTCCTATGTGTCCTCTGATGCTTGCATGGCAATCCATACTGCTGCTGGTGATGAAAGACAGGTAGGGTTGGTTGTCTAAATTATGGTACGGGGTTCTCTTTTAATTACAGGTGTACAAATACTCAGTGAATTAAGTGTGGCTCAGGAGACTTTCAATGAGTGAAGAGACTCATCTGTCTTTGTGTTGAACAGCTTGTCAGATTCAAATTGGAGGCCTTCCACCACTGTTTGTACTTCCTTTGGGATTCTCAAGAAGGGAAGCCACAATGAGCATCTTATTATGACGGCCGTTGAGATGGACCTCACCGCCCTGTCTAAGTTCATCTGGAGGGCTGATCTCATCACTACCTTTCCCTTAACAGTCAGGGCCTGGAGCCGGTCTCTAACTTCCTAGGGCATTTTATTGGCAAAGCCAGCTAGCTTACCATAGGTGGTAAAATCATAATTGACCATCAACATTTGGCAGTTTGAGATTTGAAACTGCAGGGAGGTCAAAGAGTGTATCTTTCTTCCAAAGAGGTTGAGCCTCTTTGCTTCTTTCTCAAGTGGTGTAAACCTGGCCTGTGTGTCTGCTATTCTCAGTGACTGCAGACACTACCAATGAATTGGGAGGTGGGTAAGAGGATAGGTACTCCAACCCTTTTGCAGGTATGAAATCTCTTATTTATCCTGCTTGGATACTGGTGGTACCATGGAAGATGAGGGCCAAAGTATCTTGGCAGGTTCAAGGATAAGCTTGTTTATTGGAAGAGCCACTCTACTCAGAGCCAAGCTATGACGGATTTCCAGCAGTGTCTGTGGGGTTTTCATGGGCCTCTTCCTGGGAGATTTGAAATAACTTTGCCATTCTTTTAAAGGAAGTCCAGGAAGACCTTAGGGTAACAGGACACAGTGGGGAAACTGGAATAACTGTCTTGTCTGGGGAAGAGGAGGACAAGGTCACGGGCATGGTATCCTCCTATTCTGTTGATCCTCTTCCTCCTGTTGCTTTAATTACACTTCTCGAGGAGGCTGAAGATGCTCTTCCTCTTCTTTGGGAGCTCTGAATCTCCTTAGGTCCTTTGTGCCATGAGGTATGTTCATTGGGGGGTAGTCTCATGGGTCTTCTGGTCCCAAATACTGCCACTGTGAGGTATCATACCCCCTCAGTGCAGGGCCCCAGTGGGAGTAGGGTGAGTACTCTCTCAGATGGGAGGAGAGAGATACGCTGGAGACTCCCAATGTCCTGTCTGGGCTCAATTCCCTCAAGGCATAGTCCAGGTGGGTCTGTCCTAGTCCTCTTCAGACTTTGAGGATTCAGATCCAGATGGAAAGCCCTCGGTACCAGAGGTGCTCTTTGATGGTATGGGCAACAGTCTGGCTCAACCCCTGCTCGAGAATGGGCATGCAAAGGGGTACTGCAGGGAGATCGGTACTAGCTGAAGGAATGGTGCGGGGCACTGGGGTTTGGCATGCAGTGGTGAGTCCTGTTCCAGGAGCACGAGAGGTCACCTGGAGCTGAGAAACAAGCCAGAGTTGAGGGAGTCGCTTCCATAACTGGAGCTGCTGATACACTGGCTCTGGCACTACAGATGAGGGTTTCTGTGCCGAGGAAGCCGCACTAGGACCAAAGGGTGCTGATGTGTTGCCCTTTGAAAAAATCCCAGTACTGGATGGTCCCATTCTGGAGCAGGTAGCTACTGATGACTTGATATGGGATGGGAACTCCTCTCTCTTTTTAGAGGACTTGGATGGGGAACCTTCCCTATAGTTCTTATGGGAGCGCTTATGTCTTCCTTCCCCCTTCTTCCCTGGTTCTGCTCTCCAGAGTTTCTTGAAGCCAGAGGGAGTGTGGAAGTCTTGGAGCTGCCCAGGACTGAAGAGGAGGAGTCACTCTTTTCTTCTTCAGGATTATATTCAGGGGGTCTCCCTGGACAGAGGTTGTTCCTGCCTTCATGGACTGTAACATGAGGAACTCTTGGAGTCAGAACTCCCTGGACGGCTTAGATCGACTCAGGAATGACCTACAGATACTGCACCTGGAAGTGATATGCGCTTCCCTCAGGCAGTACAGACAGGTATCATGGTAGTCCATGATGGCACCTGATGCAGCTTTTAAAGCTGGGGATCCTCAACATAGTCTCCTGAAACCAAGGAGAACTGGGGTTGAGGCGGGTACAGCGAAACACTCATTGACTGGGGGGGGTCCAAAATGTAGGGAACCAAACCCCTAAAACTATTTCTAATTAAGAACTAACTCTAAAAATTCTTAACACTATTTACAGAGAGAAGCTGAAAAAGTCAGCATGAACACAGAACCTCTGTCCTAAACCACAAGCAGTAGGAAGGAACTAAGTGGTAGGGGACCTTTCATTCCTTCAGTGTGGAGCACAAGATGAGCAAGGATGCATGCGTGGACCAGAAGGATACTTCTAGGGAAAATTTCTGGTTCTGGGTTCATGGAACACATGTGTAACCTGAAGTGCATTACACAGAGGGGAAATTACTTGAAGAACCAGGGATTAGAAGTGGGTGAGGGGTGAAACAGTGGTAACAAAATAAAAAAAGGGAAGGGAGAAATATAAAATATGGGGATGGTGAATTAACAGAGAAAAACTGGGGGGGGGGAGGCAGAATGGGATGAGAAAAATATGGGAAAAAGAAGGGGAAAATTGAGAAAGAACATGGGGGGGGAAAGAATTGGAATTGAGAAAATATAGAAAGGGGATGGAAAAAAGCAAATAAGGAAAATGTCAGATGGGAACAATAAAAACAAGGGAAAAAGGAGGCAAATGGAGAAACTTGTAAGCATTTGTGACGTTCTTAAAAATGCTGAAATAAAGAAGATTCCTTTGGATGTCTCTGAGAAAATGATATTGTGAGTCTGCAGTACTACAATAAATTAAGAGGCTGCTGACCCCTGCCTGAGAGGATAATGGAATCATGAGCAATAAGCAGCATGGGCTTCTAAAGAATAGAGCTCACCAGACAAACAAGATTGGATTTTTCTGACAGAATAAAGTTAATAGATGAAGGGAATAAAGTGCATACAATATATTTGGATTTACATAAAGCATTTGCTCCAGTACCTCATGAAATTTTACTCCCCCAAAATTAATTAATATTGGCTTAGATAGGATCTTTTTCCTGTGGATTGAAAACTGACTGAAACACTGTAAATGAAAAATAATGGTAAACAATAGCATATCAGGTGGTGGGAAGTGGAGAATAGCAAGGATGTGTCTTCGGAACCATCTTCACTAACATTTTAGAAAATGGTCTGGAAGTGGGAGGGAGAAAAATAATGAGAAATACAGCCACACAATGGGAGGGAGAAAGTGAGGAGACAGTAATGCTGAAAGAAACGTAAGCATGAGACTAATGGCAGCTAATTAGAGAGAAGTGACAAATATGATATGGCAGCAGTCAAGGAGAGCTGGGGCTCTATGTGCAGAGATCTGATGTTGTGCAGCAGAGAGATTATAGTAACTCTCTATAGAGCTCCAGTGAGATAACATCCAGACTATGGCGTTCCGCTCTGGGCACTTCAGTACCAGAAAGATGTTGACAAATTATACCACAAAGAAAGGAAATAAAATGACAGAGCTGGTTGGATTGACTTACATTGAAAAATGTAAAGGCATTACATATGCAGGCAATGCAAGGATGAGGGTGTGGGAGGACAAGTCAACCATCTACCTGTACTTGAATAGTGTGAACACAGAGGACGGAGGGGAATAATTTAGGGAGCTACAAGAGCTATAACTAGAAGTAATCAAATGAAAGTAAGACCTTAGTTACACTAGGAAATGGCATCATTTCAGCAAAGGTTGTCAACAACTGGTTTAGTTGAATTGGTGCGGACCACTGTTTAGCTGTGAGCATAGACAAGGACAAGCTACAGTCAGCAGCAACAGGTCAGCTAAACTGATGGCTGAAGTGGTGCGATTTCCTAATGTAGATAAGGCCTTCGAGAGGGAAAGCTTCCGGGCAGTGAGATCTGGAAGGCTGTGGAAGTGATGGATGCCCAATCACTTGAGAAAGTTAATTAAAAGTAGACTGAATGCAGTAATGGAAAACACAGTGAGGGATAATCTTGCAGGAGTGGACTAGGTGACTTAATATTAGAGCTAGTTCAAAATTTGCAATTTTAGTAGGATTTTCCATCAAAAATTTTGATGAAAATGTAATCCGTGCTGATCAAAAAACCCTGAAAATCTGAGAAAAATAGAGACAAAAATTACATTCTGATTTTTTATCAGGTCTACCTAATATATTTTTTCCATCCCTGAACGCCTATGATTTCATGTATTGTTTCCTCTACAGAGATGCCCCTATAATCTATGGATAGTATATTCCTTGGCTTTGCCTGGACAGACTAATGGTCTGAGAGCCATTCTGGTTTGAACAAATTATATATGTAAAATGCTATAATATTAAAATCCTCACACAAAATGCTGAGCTTTAGGTTTGCACCCTCCATAAATCACCATCTGTTTCCCACCTCCATTCCAGTTGTGACCTGAACAGGACCAAGATTTCTTACCCCTTTATCCACAGGGACCTTCACGTCCATAGCAAGGTAACCCGTTTCTCCATTGATCATTGCTGTTCTCAGCTGCACAGAGGAACAGATTAGCATTAGTGCCTCCGATTAGATAAGGACAGGATGTGGAGTGGTTTGTAATTCATATAGGGGAAGCTTCTACTGAGAAATGACTGGATCCCCTTTTCCACTACCTTTTCAGAGCTCTCAGCTAAGAACATTTTATGAGCAGCTCAGAAGATTTACACAGGGAGGCTGGTAAATGCCATATAATAATATGGATTATTATTATTTAAAGCCTATAAAGATGGTCTTGTCATTAAGGCTAAGGACTTGGAGGGAAGGGACCTGCCAATCCTGCCACAACTGCACTTTGTGACAGTGAGCAAGACACGTATTCTCCGTGTTTGCACCGCACTAGGTAAAAGGCAACAAAGAAACACAAAGCAATATTAGTTCTTCCAGAACAACCCCAAAGCTCTTCACAAACTTTAAAACCAATTTATCAAATCATAAGGTGCTCCCGCAAACCATTTCACCTGCTACTGAAATGTAGCCATTTCTGGACTGAAGCACATATGTTTAACAGAGCACCGCAACATTATAAAACATGACGGGACAGGGAGTGAAGAGACTACCCTATTCAACTGAGGAGCGAAGAGGCGTTTTGGTAGACACAATGCAATTTTTCAAGGACACCCCTTCTTCTGAAAAAAAAAAAGTGCTTGGGATCTTTAATGACCATAGACCTTGGTTTCCTAGCTAATCTGAAAGGTAGCATCTCCCGCCCAATGCCTCCTAGGATCATGCTAGGACATTGGATCAGTACTGACTCAGAAAGTAGGTGGGCACCAACTGACTTGGCAATACAATTTACTGCAGCACCTTTGGTAATCCAGTGGTGGTCTCCCATTCAAGTACTGGTAAGCCCACGCCTACTTACCTTATAAAGTCTAATAAGGTCATTGTTCAAGTTGTTACTGCTTCATGCTTCAGTGTACTAAAATCACTTGCTTAATTACCCGCTGAGCATGAAACAGTGACTACCAAAGTAAGTTTCTCCTAGCCAAGAACATCTGACTTAAGGCCAGGGAGGCTTGGGGTATTCTATGATCTGACTGAGCCTGTCACAGTCTCTCTGGGCTCTAAGTTGTTAAGACACCTGTCACAGGCACAGGAACTAGGGGCATGGGGGGGTGCTGCAGCACCCTCAGCCCTCCAGGCCTGCGGTCCTGGCTCCCGGCCCTCTGCTCCTGCCCCCAGCTGTGGCCTCAGTGTCGGTCCCCTTACCCCTGTCCGTATCCTCCACCTCCTGAAGCCATGGCTCTGGGGGGTGGGGGGCATGGACAGAGGTAAGGGGGGGTACGAGGTAAAAAGTTTGGGGACTGCTGCTTTACAGTTTCCTTAGCTGGCTTTCAGCACCCCCACTATAAAAAGTGTTCCAGCACCACTGACACCTGGTATTTGATCCATATCTTCCATGTGATCCTGGTCTTGCAAAACATTTCCTTCCCAACACACAGACTGCAGTGGACAGTGAGAGGAAAGGTTAGAATTAGATGGCAGCAAAATCCGTATCCAGATTTTAAACCCCTCTGCTGTTCAGGGTAAGATGGTGGGAGGGGAAGGGGAGGTCTCCCAGTATAGTGATGTGGCCGTGCTCCCGAAGTTAGGACCTGAATTTGAACTTTCCCAAAATGCACTTATTAGAGCTTTGATCTCCTCCCCACCTCCCTCCCATCTTGTGACTCCAGCTACATTGGTCCCCATGAGAACAAGAAGCAGGCTCAAGTGAGAAACCATCAGAACTCGTGTAGTCCCACCCCGAGTAGCACAAAGTAAGGGAAACCGCAACCGGGAGGTGTGACTGCAGCACATGTAGAAACAGCTGAGCTACTTTTGATCTAGATCAAAAGCTAGCCCAGGTAACAATAGCAGCCAAGCTACAGCAGCATGGGAGGCTGCCTGGGCTAACCTTGTCCACCTGGGACCTTGGGTACATTCTTGAGCAGCCACCACCTGCGCTGCTGCAGCTTCATGGCGACTCTTCCGTGACCTAGCTCCAGTCTAACTACCTAGCTAGATCAAAGCTAGTTTGGGTATGTCTACATCTGCTACAATCACACCTCCCAAATGCAGTGTAGACGTACCCAGAGAGGGGGAGACAAGCACCCTGTATGGGAGTGAGAAGGGGATGTTTCTCTGTGTAGGGACTCACCCTCTGCTAGTAATGATCAGCCCCTGACAGAAGAAATCAAGAATTGTTACAATCTGCCATAAGGAAACTGACCCCCACTCCCTCACCCCCAGTAATTAGGAGGAAAGGGCCATGAACAGGCTACAATCCATTTTTGATACTCACTATTTCATCTTGGTCTTCCCACTCCACTTCAGAGAGATCCACACTGTTGTAGTTTGGTTTGGGCTTCAGCTTCTTTCCCTCTTTGTACTGGAGTTTATAAAAGAAACAGAAGAAATGGAGCTCTAACTTTCCAGGCTAGCCCTCTAGCACGTCACAGTCAATATTGCATTGATAAAATAGAGAAGCCACATTTATTTAGATTGACTGGCGAATGAGTGTTTATATAAGCAGGGGAATAGCCCCGCTATTGTGGGGAACTTTGCTGGCTTCTGCACTACCCCAGTGAAGTGGGCTAGCAAAAGGATCTGAGTCCTCACTCCCACTTCCTTTACCCAGTGGCCTCCCTGCCCTTGAGGACTCCCCTTCCACTCTCCTGTCTGGCAGAGTCCTCGTAACCCCAACCAGGCTGGGCCCAGGATTCCCGGGGGGCTCAACCCCCAACCCGGCTGTGGTCACCTAGGACAGGGGCTAGGGTGTCCCACTCCGGGGTACTCTCTCTGCATTCGCCACTTCTCTGACCCACTGACCATTACATACAAGTTAAAGCAAATGCAAGTTATTTAATCAACAATTAATTTTAAAAAGAATAAGGAAAAATGGGAAAGGTTAAAGGAAACACATCAACCCGCTCTGTGGCAGGGAACATCACAAACGGCGTCTCTGGAATGTCAGGGCAGTTCACAGTCTGTTCCTTGTAAGTCCCTGGCCTTCTTCTCAGGCCCTGGCTGTGCTGCAGGGATGCTGTGGGACACTCGCTCTGGTGGTGGCCACACGCTCTCAGGCTCTCAGTGGTAGGACCCTTCTTCCCAGTGTTGCCCCCGCCCTGTCGGGGTTACGATCCAAGCCTGGCCTGCAGAGCCTCCTGGCTGAGACGTCTCCCTGTGCTGGGCCTGCTGCCCAGGGTCCCCCTCGCTCTCCCCAGCTGCAGACTGCTCCAGCCCCAGCTCCACCACTCGGTCTCAGCACTGCTGCTGCTGCTCTGCCTCCAGCTCCCTGGGCTGCTTCTTTGGCCCCTCTGCCTCTGGTTGCTACAGCTCTGCTCCCAGGACAGGTCTGCTCTGCAGGCTGCTTCTGTCACTCTGCTCCCAGCAGTGACCTGCTTCCTGGGCTGCTTTTCTAGCCCCTCTGGCTCTGGTTGCTGCAGCTCTCCTCCCAGGGCAAGTCTGCTCTCTCTGGGCTGTGCCTCTGGCTTTGGGGCTGCAGCTCTGCTCCCAGGACAGGGTCTGCTCTCTCTGGATCTGGCCCAGCTCTGCTCCCCAGCTCAGCTTGCACCCCTGCTTTCTCTTTAGCTCGGCCCCACTCTGTCTGACCCAGGAAATTCCAGCTCACATGGAGGATGGGACCTCCCTGGCCTCCTGACTCTCTGATTAGCCTGCCTGCCCTGTCATTCAGACTTACCTGGAGCATTGGCGTCTCCCCATTGTTCCCGGGGGCTGTCAGTCTCAGGGTTCTGATTTCCCATAGACCCTTCCTCTTGCAGTACTGGGAGCTAGCCAACCAAAACTCCCCCACTGAATGTTAGTAAGGGGGTAACAGTCCCCTTACATTTACATGCAGGTGTCATCTTATCCTACAGCCATTACATTTCCTACGTGTGGGCAGGATCTGGAGATGTGAGCATTACTGTGTCCTACAGGCCATTTCAGAAACAAGGGGCAAGCACAGGGCTAGGTGGGCTTGCAGGTAACTATATACGCTGGTTTGTGAGAATATGTTTTGGTAATTCATATAAGGAAATCTGGTGAGCAGAAAGTTTACACCAGGATAATGACCTGATAGCCGTAGTGGTTGTATAAAAACATGAGATACATTAATCTCCCTGAAAGCCCATGGATTTAAGTCACAACAGTACTAAGAGCATCAGAATCACCTACCAAAGGTCGGAGGTCGGGGTGTGAGAGGATGTAACCGTTGTTAGTGTTCAGAAAGGCATATCCATGGACTCCCAACTGTTAGAAAAAGGTATTCGAATAATTAGCCTGGTCTCCTCTCCAGTTGCTGCTCTGTAACAGGGGAGTGAGTCCATTGTCCCACCAACATTCCTATTGATTTATTCTAACAATCAGGAAGAGGCTCTGATACTAAATGACTGATTTCCTAGCCACCAGCTGCTCTCTGGGTAGCAAGAAGAGTCTTACTGAGTATTTGTGTGCACAAATGGATAGCTAAGCACTGATGAGGTAATTGATTTGTGCATGTAACTGCAGTAAGTGCACAGACAGTGAGTGGCTGACAATTACCATTTAGTAGGTAAAATTAATTTTGGTATCCATGGCATTCCTATACTTAGAATGTGGAACAATGGGGAACACTATGGTAACAGTGCCACGAGTATTGAGGCAATAATCAAAATTTTCATGGTGGCCACTGTAGATGCACAACTGAGTGTGGATCTCAGAGCTTATCTTTCTGGAAACCAAGCCCCAAAAGGGTGTAGAAGGAACATTGTCACCTCTGAGAATCCTCTGTGGCTGAGTGTGGCTCTGCTGTGGCCTGAGTTAACAATGAGGTCACTTAAACAGTCCTGTCACAAAGAAGCCAAAACACTCTACTTGATAGTAGTCTCTCTCTCTTTAATAAAGTCTTTTGAAACGAGCACTTATACCAGGTTTAAAGACTCTAACCTCAGAGCCCAGCTAAAACTTAACAAAAGTCTCTATGTCCCAGCAGCAGCTCCTTCTGCTGTAAAGCCTCAGGCTTCTCCATTGCCTGAAGAGGCCCTACAGTCTTTGCTCTGTTTGTCTAGGGTCTTTCCCAGGCCTCCTTACCTGGAGAGCTTTTGCCTAGTCCAGGCTCTCTGGAAGCTCTCTTCCTCTGGAGCTTCCTTTCTCCTCAGGAGTCCTTGTTTAACCAAGGTCCCTTTTACCCTGCCCAGGTGCCTAATTAACTGCCTTCCAGTTACTCAGTAACTTAAGTTGTCCCAGGGGAACCTGAGTTGTCTCATTCCCCCTTGTGGAGCCTGTCAGAGGTAGGCTGGGATGGGTCCCTGACCCCAGGCAATGTCGCACTTGACCTTCAGGTGAACTCAGAGAGTGACTAATGAGATCAAGTCTGCCTACAGTATATATTTCAGCCAATCCACAGAGTTCTTAAAACTCAAGTATAATTTGCACTTGTGAAGACAAGAATTATCCACTGGAAAACTAGTGTCTTTAACACCTCCATACAGATGTATATTTCTTGATAGTGAAGGAGGACTCATTTGTGTGACTAATTATCAATCAAACATTAGGTATTCTAGTGCGTGCAACTACCCAGCATTGGTTTGGTCACACTTATATGAACAAAAAGTTTTAACCCATAGCTTAAGTCACATGAATTTTGGGGTAATCCCCAGCAGTCACCGCTGTCAAGGTGACCCCTAATGGAAATTCACTAGAGGGACCAATCAACATTGTACAGAATTCTCAGCACAAGCCTAGTGAAGCAAAGTATAACAGGCCTCACAGAGAATAGCACTTTCCCACAGAGCCTCATTAAAAATTCATTTTTTTCAATGAGATCAACTTTCTTTTAAAACATATTTAAAAGCAATACAGAGCTGGTGAAACGGGCTGTCTTAACAAGTCTGGGGACTGAAATCCTTTTTAACCACAAAATGAGTACAGTACAGACAGCAATAGTGCAAACTTCCTCAACTTGCCCTGCCAAGAAATCTCAAAACTGACTTGGAGAAAGTCCCTCTAGGCATGACAGAATAGTTCAGTTTCAATTGTCCATTCTATCCTTGGCACCTCTGCCAAGAGTGTCAACGGTGATGCTAGTTGTGATGGTGCCAGCTATGACGGTGGTTTTAGTCTACTGGGAACTGGATGGAAACTACCAGCTCTTTTTAGATAGGCCACCAAAGAGTAATCCCATGGTGACAACTTGGGCCATTATTATCCTAGAATGCATTCAAGCTGGTGACAAGATGCAAAAAGTTCTAGGTCCTATTACCAATCTGCTACGACATTCAGTTTCTTTGTTTCTAGAGTAGTCTACAGGCTTGTCATGGTGAATGACAATTCCCCAGGTTCTGTAAAGAAATCACAGGATCCAAGCTTTATATCTGTGGTTACACCTCTATGCACAGTAACTGATAATTCATTGGATTATGCCTGTGGACAAGTGACTAGGTATTTAGCCATGTATGATGCCAGACGGTTTGCATTAGCTTGGGTCTTACCTTATACCGTGGAGCCAGTTTCAGTAGCTCCCTGAGTGGAACATCAGAGCCCACTACACCCAGGAGAATGCCATGAGATCTCTAAAAAATAAAGGAGAAACTGTTCTCAGAAATGAAATTCTGTTAGCGCTCAGCCTGCCTTCACCTAAACATGGGCAAATGCCATTCATCACTCTTCCATAGTAAACAGTCAGGGCTTGAGTGGAGTCTGTGCATTTGGTGCTGGGCTGAAGCCGGGGGTGAGAAAACAAGATGAAGTTTCTTATTCCAGTAATACTGGGAAGAAGAAACATTCCGAGGGAGGGACAAATGATCTCTTAGAAATCAATAAATAGCCAAGCAGCTTGCTAGAGCCACCACAAAAGCCTATCTTCGTTAGCCAATGGCTTTAGAAGACTGGAGACCACCTCAGCATCCTTTTACCTGCCCTAGTTCCAAGGAGACTGTAGGGAAGCACTATACTCACCGTTTCATTCTTTTTGCTGAAGACTGGCATAGCTACTGTTGTCATGAGCAGCAGACTTTGAGCTTGAGATGCAAAGAGCTGCCACAGGACAAAGAGCAGTGTATTAACAAGTGTAATAGGATAGGGAGCCACCACCAGAAGCATTAGGGTTTCCAGGGGCACCAAATGCTGAATGAAATCATACAGAAAAAAAAAAGCCCTGTATAAAAGGCACATTTCTGATCTTCCCTAGGAACAATGCTCCTTGTGGGAGGAGGGTGATCAGCCTAGGATAAAAACCAATGAAATTTGTCACAGGAAAAGGCATTAAAGACCTAACAATGCTAAAGAGAAAGGAATCTTTAGAAATTAATACCCTTTATGCATGTCCATGCCAAGGAAACAGACATAGGTTCACATACAAATACATACTTAAATACAACCAAAGTGCACATACAATACAATTGTAAGAAACAACACACACATGAGCAAAACTCATGGACACGCAAATCACATGTATAAATATACCCCAAACCAATGCATATAGCTTGAATGAGAAGCATCACAGACAAATACTAAAAAGAAACATGCACAGAGCATATTTAAATGCACTCATCACATGTGTGCCTAGGGACTGCTGAAGAAACTGCAAAGATAGAGGCAAAAACATGATATGAACACAAAACATGCTTAGCTACACCCAAAAGACATGTATATAGGACACAGCACAAACACATGCAATGCGATGTCAGAGAGCCCTCAATACTCTGTGAGAGAGACGTTCTAAGAACACACAAAACACAGGAGGAACATATAAAATACACAGGAGTCTCACAGACATACCTAGCTAGAAAAGTGACTCTCCTTCCTTGGCACAGGAAGCAAGTCCCTTCTATCGCTCCTTTGGCCAGATATGCAGCTCACCTTTGGACAGGTCAAAGTCCTGTGTCCTCTCCCTGTGCATGCTGGGAACCATAAAGGAGCCAGCCATTCTAGACAGTAACTTGAAGGGTTGAAGCTGGTATTCTGCCTTATTGAACTGAGCACAATCTGTTGCTGCCCTCATACCTGGGTGGATAGCTCTTATTCACAGCAGTGTTGGGGCAAATCTAGCACACATGTATCTCACAGTGACACACTCTACATATGTAAAAATACATGCAGTGGACTAAACTACTGTACAGCACAGGGACTCCCTACCTACTCTCATCCAACAGCACAGCTCTCCAGTACATCCAGTGTTACCATTTCCTTCCTGACGCACATCCTCAGTGCTCCCGCCTCCTCCCCTCCCTGGATGTACAGTTCAGCAGTGACTAGATGAGCTAGCACAGACATTGTTTAGCCGACACAACGGGAGTAGCACGCTCACAGAACACAGCACAGGTGGTTACCTCCTCAGACTGTGGCAGCTAGCAAGAGACATGGATGGATACATGAATGAATGAACGCATACATGAATGAATGAAAAGCATGAGAGGCAGCAGGAGAGGAAGACAAATGCAAGCCAGAAAAATGAGACAACCAAGAAAAGCATCAGTGGACAAAACATCACTTCAAGCTCTTGTTTCGAAATACCAGAGCCAGGGCATATAGAATTTGCTGTGTAGCAGGGAGTACTATTGATGGTTTTGCTCAGCACACTCAGTAACTGACTCACCAGTACCGCATGTGCATAGTATGCTTGGCAAAACACATTTCCTTTGTTGCCCCCAGAGAGCAGGTACATCCCAAGGAATACCTCCATATTCAACCACAGCACAGAAGTGAGGACCAGTCTTCCCAGGGCTTAACCAGCAGTGTCTTACAGGCATGAATCAGTGCAAAACCTGTATATGTCATCCCTTTTGGAAGAGTCCTATCAAATGTAACAGGAGTATAAGTCACACTTCTATAGAATTTTTAAACCAGCCTGTAGAATTCTAGAGCAGGCACAGATATTCCACTGGTTGGTTCTAGAAATTCTATAGAAAGGAGATCATTCTATTTAAAATTCCACAGGTTTTTAGAGTAATTTCTCTATAGAATCCCATTGGTTTCATCCCTATTAAAGGACTTTTCCACAAAGGAATATATAAACTTTTCTCCTTTCTCACTCACCTGACTCCAAACCAGTTCCATAAATCTCAGACAACCATTTTCTCTTGAGACCTGATCCTTCTCAGGACACAACTGCCACCCACTAACCACCATGCCTTTTAAATAGGCCCCATTTAAATCGGCACATTCTTAAAAGCTGTAGCAATGCCCCTTTGATGGGAAAGAAGCTCTATACTACCCTATGGCAAAGAGGTTAATCAAAAGGGCACAGTGATTGTTTAGTTAATTACATCAGGAGTGGAAATCTTCACTATTAGACTCTTTGACTTGGCTGCATGTTCCATGTTGGGATTATTCACTTTCTTTCCCTACTGCCCTGAAAGTGGAATAAAACCAGCACTGCTACAGTGGATAGAGGCTAATGAATTGAGGGGACTAAACTTCATCTCTTTATCCGCCCTTTGTAAACAACCCTGTTTCCTGCTCTAACACTCTAGATTGTACTCCTTCGGTCACCATCTGAACCCTCTCAACATCTTCCCCTCCTCTGACCCCTCTTTGGGGTCAGAGCATAGTCTATAATCTGACTTCTTCCTAGGGGCACCTACACCACTTGGAAGTGGTCAAGGTCCCTTGGCGGCTGGGAAGCATCTGGAGAAAGCGTTGTCATTCCTACGCCATAGCCTGTTCTGTAGTGAGTGCACCTACAGAAGGAAAACACCAAACCCAGAATCTCCTGCATGAAGGTGCTGGGATCACCAAAAGCAGAACCGGGCTGCCCTTCCCTCTAGGCAAAAAAACAGGTAAGAAAATGACCAAGGAAAACAATTCTATGTACTTGAAGAAGGGTTGGAGAAGATGTCCTTTATACCCCGCTTCTCTTTAGTCTCTCTCTTTACTCTTTCTTGATCTCAAAGGCACATTGCTGTGGCATCCTTATTTTCAGAACATCTCAAGCCTACCACTAGTGTAGGCCACAGACAATGGAGCAGCCACATAAAAATGTTGAGGTAGCAGTGAGAGGATCCAGTCTGCAACAGCAATGGGAGGACACCAAAGGAGAGAGTAGAAGGTTGTAGGGCACCCTACGTTTAGTTCCCTCACACTGGCTGTGAGGTATTCCCTCACTCCAAGAGTTGAGCACACTTACCCTGTAATCATCCTAAATCTTGCTAGCACAGAGAGCAAAGGAACAAGCTTTGGGAACAAGCAAAGGAAAAGAATCTCTGTGACCCATATCCTGAGCTATAACTAATCACTGTCCTGTGAATAATCCTTTATAAAGTACCCTGAGTTAATGGAGACAAGAAACACTACTTAGGTCATGATGTGCATTTGTGATTAGCCTTGGTTTCCTGGCTCACTGCACACTCTCAAGGAGACCTGAGACTTTGCATGGAGGATTCAGTTCCAGGATTGAGGGGAAAGAAATGCTGCCTGTCTAAACAGGTGCAGAGCAGTAAATTCTACAGATCAGCTGACTCCCAGTTTTACAATATGTTCATATTTCTGAGGGATCCTCCAAGAGATCCATATGTCACAGCCCTGCTTTCCCCCTCTCCTTCACTTAGCCCTTACTGTTCTAGCCCACAAAAGCTTATGCCCAAATAAATTTGTTAGTCTCTAAGGTGCCACAAGTATTCCCTGGTTTTTTTGCTGATCCAGACTAACATGGCTACCACTGAAACCTGTCTGCTGATTGGAAGCTTATCTCAATGTCCTTACCGCACTGTCCATGTAGGCTTCAGTCCATATGATGTCATGATCGTGGTTGATGACCATCGGACGGCTGAGCACATGCAGATATTCCATCACATTCTCCTGAACATCTGCCAGGGTGGAGATCTGAGTGTAGTAGCCTTAATGGAGAAACAGAAACCTGTCACTCTCCCAGTGTCCTCTCCTGAATTATTCAGGCATGTTCATTTGAATTCAAAAAGCAAAGTGTCCGTTCAAACCTATTTGTGACACTTGGGTCTTTGTTTTCTGTGCATAAGCGAGGGCTTGAGCATGACAAGTGAGAATACTCACAAAAAGTGAACGTTTAACTCAAATATTCACCAAAAGCACCTTTCAAATTACAGGACTAACCAACATAACTAACCAACAGCAGGGTGAATGACACACTGCAAATTTTACACTTAAATATTTGAATTGAAATCCGAACTTTTATCGGTTAATTACATAAATCATCTAACCAGGGAACAGAAACAATATCATGTTACTTGTGAAACCAACCAATAAAAACTTGAATTCAGAAGATCCACAATGCATGAACAAAGAATTATTTACTGACAATCATTTTAAACACCACAAACATATAAGCATTTCACAATCCGTTTGTAGACAATTTGCAGACAAAGACAGGTGAAATTGTTTATTTTCCCAGACCTTGCTCATGGATCCCCACCCCATTGTGCACCTACATAGGGAAGCCATTTACTGGCTTATATGTGAAAGAATCATTCAGCCCTACTTTGGGGTACAAAGTGGCAGCCATTTTGTGCCAGCAATAGCACCTCATAGTTTTAAGGTGGGGAAAATGAGGAATACTGGGATCAAAATGAACCAATGGCAGAATTTTAGGTAGACATACATAATGCCATTTGGCCAGGACTCTGGGGTTCACCTTCTGCTCTTGTGAAAAGGGCCATGAAATCTTTAACAGAAAGGATGGCAGTTTTGTCACTCAGCCAAAAGATAGCATGTCCAGCGACACAGACACAGTGCTGCTTAACACCACGATAGGGAGTCGGTTTAGTACTGATCAAGGAGTAGCCTCAGTGAAACACCAACAGCACTCCTTGCAGCACCTGAGTTTTCCTCAGAAGTCTCCCATCCAAGTGCTAACTAGGCACAAACTTTAGTGTATGAGCTCTAAAGAGATCTCAGTCCCAGAATGCATGATTGCAGTCTGCATGTGATGTGTATAGTGGGCTAATTGTTCACAGACAGCACCTTTGTTGTTGCAAGCTATCCATTTCACATTTTGTGCAAATGTGACTTCCCTTCCAATGAGATAAGTGAAAACCCGGACCTGTGTAACAAGAATACAGTGGTAAGAATTATGCAGAAATCATCTCCCATTTGCAACAGTCCCAAGTCAGTCCAAAGAGGTGTAATGTAACATGCTACGAAATTAGAACGGTAGTGGCTTGACACCCATGTTGCAGAAGTGTAAATTACTACACTGAAGGACAGTGGAGAAATTGTCTTTACACTGATATATGATTCTCTTGTTCCCTGAGAACCTCATTATCAATCAAAATTAACCTGGCCAGCCAAGTAACAATACATGGAGGCACGGAGCGTGATCATTTGGAGATGAGAACTCTTAAACACTGAGCTGGCACACACTGGATTTGTTTTGGGAACAGCTGTGGAGAGAAGGTTTGATTAACAAACCAGAAGCAAGAATTGTGATTGATTTCACAGCAGTAGCCAGATCCACATGCAGGTAGCTTCACCACTCATAAAAATTCTTAACCCATGGAAATATTTAACCACATAAAGCAATTAACGGGACACTATCAGGTTAAAATTCATCTGTTTTCAGAGTGTTCTCATTCATGTGATCAATAACAATTTAGCTTATTTAAAATGAAACAATATTAAAAATCAAATTTATTTTTTGCTCTTTCTGCTGTTTGTTTCCCTTGTGCATTTCCCTCAGCTTGGACAAGGAAAACAAACGAGTCACTTTGGTTTAGAATCAGTTCTTACTTTTTTTCAGTTCCAGGTCCTGATTCAATAGCACAAGGGCTGTAACACAACTGAGTTACAAATAGAGCTGGTTGGGAATTTTTTGACAAGACAGTTTTTTGTCAGAAAACGCCGATTAGCTGAAATTGAAACTTTTCATGGGAATGTTCCATTTCCAATGAACTTTCCTCAAGAAATGTTTCTCAGGTTCTCTGGGATATCCAGGTACAAGTCTCTGCCTGAACCAGGCAGAGCAAGGACTACGAACCTGGGTGTCCTACACCCAGGTAAATGCTCTAACCAGCGGACTATTGGCTACTCTGGGGTGGGTCAGTGTCTGTCTGTCTATTTTGTCTTGGAAAAGTCTTGGGTTCATCCCAATGTATAGCAGGACAATATCTTGAAATCTCAAAAAATTCTGCAGGACAGGAAAACCCCAACCTTTTCCACCCAGTTCTATTGTAAATACTGCACAGAGATGTTCAGTTATTTATTTATTCATTTAATAAAACATGTTTCAGTCTGGAGGTTGGTGGAGTTTTGTATTTGTTGGTGGTGGTTTGTGGCTTTTTTTGTTTTAGTAAATCAGAAGAATGTTTCTATTGTCCTCAGCTTTTGAAATAGCCTTTTTTAAACCTACACACACACACATACCCCGGCCCCGACCCCAACACACACACACACACACACATATATATATATTTTGGGCCAAACTTGACCTGACAGTGTCCCTTTAAAATCACAGCACCTTTATAATCCCCTCACCAACTTATTGTCTAGCTGCTTTGTGTTGTATTTACAGTAGGGAGCATGTGGAGGCTTGTGAGTACACATACTTCGGCATGTGGTGTTTTCTATTCACTCCATGCCAGGATGGTCACTTTCCTTCCCCTCCCCTGCTCCCTTTATTCATCCCTTTTGAGACAAACCTTACGATCAGGCCAGTTGTACTTTTCAAACACAGATTCATAATCCTCCACGGCTCCGTCTGTGATCAGCATGATGGCTTGGTTACACAGGCCTCCTTGCCCAGCCTCTCTGAACTACAAATGGAGAGGAACAGCAGCATTAGTATCCTCAACATTGCCATAATTCTTATTGCTGTATATTTATTTATAAAAGGCCAGATCCTGAGCTGAATTCTTACCCAGGCAAGACTCCCAATGACTCCATAGAGCCTTTTCCCCAAGTGAGGGCTGAGCTTTGGTGTGCTCTGTATTTTTTATTTACACAGCGCCTATCATCACATGCCATACCCAGGTGCTTTACAAAAGTTAAAATAACATGAAAAAAAGAGTGGTGGGCACAATGAGCTTTATTGCCTACTGCCCTGTACCGTGCACTGCCATGTACGCTTGTAGTACGCAGGCATGGAGTGGGTGTAAAACACAACTGTCCTGACTTGGTAGCCACTGGCACTCACTTTGTACAACTTTCGAAAGCTGGTTTAACTAACATCCTTAAAAGACCTGCTTCCCCTCCCTAGACCATCAACCCGAGGATGGGGAACACAAACTGCTGTTGTGTGTCTCTGCCTAGCTGTGGGTGGAACAGACAAGAAGGTGGTGCATGCAATCCTGAATGGACCTAGGATACACCACTTTGTTGGTGAGGGGGCAATCTTGGGTGATAATAAGCCAAAACCACAGGATAAGCATCTATTGTAAGAGACACTGGATGTAATAAAGAATTCTGAAAAACCCTTTTAACCATCAAAGCACTCAACCCACACCCACAATTTGAAAAACAAGTCCTGAGAGACTAAGGGCTTCTCTAGATTAGGTAAGTGGTCGAGGTTAGGTCAGGGTTAGCAAATGTGTCACTAACCCTCACCTAACCTCAAGTTTTTTCCCAATGAAAACAAACCCAAAAAGGAGAAACCCAGGAAGACAAGGAAGGGGGATGAATTGCTGGCGGCTGGCCTCTGACAAAAGAAGTTTGGGGAGTCGGCATTGCTGCCTAGGAGTGTAAAGTATTTCTTTCAATTGTTCTGTGACTGAGATGAGACTACCTGGTGTATTTTATGAGAAGTTTAAATTTAGATATATGTTCTTCACGCTGGCTCTTTTTGATTTACTACAATTTTCTCTCTATTTTCAATACAACATCTTAGGCTGGTTTGGGTAGTTTCTCTCAGGCTGCACCACAGAGAGCAAAACCCCATAATCTCTAAAGGCTGGTCCACACACCGTTTTGTACCAATGTAATGACATCTGTTTAGAAACTGATACAGAAACCGATCCCCTAGCATGGATGTGGTTATACTGGTATGATGGTGTCTACGTTGGTAGGTTTTATTACTTTAACTATACCAATACAGCTAGAGTGGTACAAAACCCGTGCAGAGACCAGCCCATAGGAGAGTAAGCAAAAAGGGAATGATGTCTGAGACTCTAACTTCGCTCTGAGATCTCAGTCCAAAGGGCAGAGGTATCCTCTTCCATCCAGTGTTTTGTCAGGGGCCGTGGGCAGGTGAATACAACAAAGAAGCCTAAGGATTAAAGAGGAAATGTGTATTGAAGGGGCTGGGGGGTGAGCCAAGAGTATACGTGACACTAAGCCTTAAAATAGCTACAGAAAGATTTTGGCAAATGCCCTCAGGAAGGGAGCTTTCTAGAAGGGGTCCCAGATGAAATCTTGGGATGAAGGACAAAGGCTTGAATGATTACCTCTCCAGCTATGTGCCTTCAAGGCAAATGGAATCAAGAAAACTTAATACTTTTATTTAGTACTAGCAAGACCTTGAATTTAATCTGTTGATTATCAGCAACCAGTGCAAACTGCAGAGGCTTTCTCTACATCAAGGAGTAAAAATGAACAGCTTCTTGGCTGCAACTTCTCGATTTCAAGGACCACCTCCTCCTCTTACAAACTATTATGATTGGAGCAATGGAAGATCTGTCCACTGAGGAAGGTTACACAAACTCACATAGATCAAAATTTTAAAGGGAGGAAGACATGATAGCTCTGTAGTAAAGATAAATGAGAGGCAAGCAACTACATGAAATAGAGCGTGTGTGGGAGACTAATTTAAGGCTGACTAAGGGTGCATCACAAGAATAATGGCTTTAAACTAAAGAATGGAAAATTCAGCTTAGACGTAAGAAAAAAGATTAAGAGCAATATCAGCAACATAGACCATTGGGCATGGGGAGAGAGTGCGGAGTATAAACTGGTACCTGTGCAGTGCTTAGAGCTTAACCTCTGAAATCCCTTCCACCTCTAACCTTGGTCATTCTGTATTTAGATGGAAAAGTATCTTTACCAACCTGGGTAGTATAATGATGCCACTGCACCTACCACCATCAGCAGTGGGACACTCCTTGTGTCAGCTCCACATGCTTTCATTGCTGTAGTCAACATTGACACCGTCACTCTCATGTCACCACTACCAGCATCATCTGCCTCATTATCATCCTCCACAACATTGCTTTCCTCAGTGCCAACACCACCGTGATGGCACCATCACTGCTATTGACCTCATCATTATTACTTTCATCATAATCACTGCTACTATCACATCACCACCATTTTATACCATCACCAAAGCCCAAAGCCACCATCTCCCTCATCAGCACCCTGGTACCACCAAAGTATTGGTTATTCTACCATGATGAGAGAGGATTGGACAGCCTCTACTTGACCACTGTAGAATTTCATGTGTAGAACTCTTGTCCTCTCCACCTATGTAATAACCCCTTTACTCCTGTGGTATTTTTATTTGTTTTTTATAAAGTAGTTATTATATTTATTTACTGTGATCCAGTATGCAGAACCCCGAAGGTCTCAGTGGGAGTGAGAACGATGGTTTATAAATAAAATTATTATTATTGGACCACAAGCGGAGGTCTTTGCTTAGTTTTTAAACAAGTTGTTACTCAGACAAACTTTCACTGGAGTCAAAAAGACTCCACAGGTAAAAAAATAAAGGGTCAGATTCTTAGGTCTGCTGTGCCCTTTTTACATCACCTAAGCAGCACAAAAGGAACAGAGGCCGCTGGTAACTTTGCTGTTGGGGATACCCCAGGCATACCAAGACCAACTCCCCTGCCTCCCTCCATGCAGCCCACAGAGCCCAAGGTTTTCAGGTGTTGCTTGAAAATGAGGAAGTGGATATTGAGATGGGTGTCCAGGGGTCTAGAGCTTCACATCCGCAGGCCACCATGGAAAAAACATCTCCACCTGAATGATGGTCAGATTCCTAAAAGGCAGGAGGAATCAGAGATTCCTGTCAGGAAAAAGCTTAAGGTGGAGGCCTGGAATGGAGCCATGCATCAGGAATGAGTACATGATACTCCTAGGTGCAGATGGAAGTTAGAGATAAAAATGTTAAAAGTCATTGAGTTATGTCAGAACAGAGGGGAAATGAAAACTGAGGTCTGCTATAGAGTCCCATTGTATTAGGAAGAAGGAATGGGTGAGCTACACCTTGAACAGATTTCAGGTGTGTCCAGATGAGAAGCAATGGTGGACTTTAACTAGTTAGATGTCTCTTATCTTAATACAACGAAACCAAGATCCGACATTTTCTTGAATTATTAAGGGGACAACTTAATATAGCTTAGTTTATATCTGATCATGACCATTAATATTGTGTACAGTATCATTACAAAGTCTCTGGCTCCCATATTACATGCAATTTCCAGGTCTCTAATTCTTTCTCTAAATATAATAACTACTTTATAAAAAACAAGGAAAGAATTAGAGACCTGGAAATTGCATGGAATGTGGGAGCCAAAGACTTTGTAATGATACTGCACACAATATTAATAGGGGAGGGTGAAATCATCAGCATAACAATAATGGAGGTAAAAGGCAGATTTTAAAACCAAGAGTTAAGGCCTGCCCCTTTAGGTCTTTTTGCAATGTGCTGTGGGGACTACTCAGTTGTAGCGAGTGAGCAGAGGCTACGAGCAGGAACCATTCAGGTGAAGTTCTAGGTGCAATCCTCTGCACTGAGTGGAAGTAAGTCCCAAGACCCTTGAGTGTAACCATAAGGATGCCCAAGAGTGTGTGTGTGTCCAGCACATGTGTGCTGGCAGGGGAGAGCACAGAATGTGCATATCTGAAGAGATGTAAGCAAATGAGGCACTTAGCTATGTGTTTCCCTCTTTGGCCATAGTCTTGTTATCAGGAACAACAGTCTTACTCTGCTTTATTCAGGATCAGATTCCCCTGCACTCCCTGTTTTGCTCAACATTTTTTACTTTGCACTTGTAAGTACAACACTTTGCATCTGTGGCATTTCAGGACCAAGACCTTAGTAGGAGGTGTCTCCTGGGGAAAGAAAGTAAGGGATTCAGGGGAGCTGGAAGCTAGCAGAGCAGAGAAGGAAAAGCAAGGGAAAAGCAGGACAAATAGAAGACCCCATAAAGAAAATGGAAAAAACTAGGCAATTGCGTCTGTGGATAAGAAGACATATCCTGCAAAAATCAAAGGCACAAAATAAAGCGCTGTTAGCAAAGGATGTAAAAATGAGCAAGAAACTGTATAAATACAAACAGTAAGACGCATGAAAATGAGTAAGGAAAGTATAGGTCCACAACCTATAAAGGCTGGAGAACAAATAAGAGAGAGCAAGAATCAGGCTAGAATGCTTAATAAGTGCTTTGCTTCACTCTTAAAAAGGACAGTAGTGACAGGACAGAGACTGCAGTAGTAGGTAACAGAGAAAGGAAGAGTTTCAAGGTAGAGTCACAGGGTTACGTTAGAGACTATATAAACTGGACATATTCAAATCAGCAATGTCCAATGGAATTAAAGCTAGAGAGGTAAAAGAGCAAGCAGAAGGTGCAGCTGGTCCACCTACAACAATGTTTGAGACCTAACAAAGAACAAATGAAGTCTCAAAAGAATGAACAAAAACTTGTTTTCAAAGGAGGATGGAAAGTTGATCAGTAAGTTGAGCTTCAATATTTGGTAAATTACTAGAACAATTAATAATACAGTTAATTTGTGAGCACCCAGAGGAAACACAGATAATCAGAAAAATCATAGGTTACTGGTTGAATGAAATGCAATGGACACAGCATACCTCTACTTC